TTGCAAAGGACCCAGACCTAAATTACAAACTAGGGCTTGATCTTTTAGTCTGTGCAAAATTGAAAAGGTTTGAAAACATCACAATCCAATCCATATCCTCAAATATAACAAAAAAACTGTTAACTTGAAAAATCACTGAAACCGTTAATTATTAAAATTGTTAATAATTAGGCAAACACATGTCTGCCACAGCTTTTCATTATATCAAATTGGTGATAAAAATATGCGTCAAAGTACACAGATGTGCCAGATTTTAGTCATGAGCAAAGAAACAAGTTAAATGTTCAGGTTTTTATTTTAACAAAGGCCTATTCACACCAAAGATGGGCACTTGTTTTTTTCAGCTCACATTTTTGGTTTGGGCCAAATTTCACAGGAATTTGTTTTGATGACTTTGACATACACTGCTGTGCTCTGAATACACATTTCATTACATTGCAGATCTTTTATGTGACTGATTGAGTCCATAGAAACAGCAATTCCCCATTTCATTGATCTGATGGGATGTACATAAATGCCAGATATAATTGGCAGACGTGGTTTGTTGCATGCCTTCACAGATATTGTCATTCATGTCTTCTCCCACTGTTAAATCTTTCATAGCCTTTAGATGAGATCTTCTCCCCTCCACCTGTGCCCCTCCTTCACACTCACACATACACACACATCTTATACTGGCTATTGACTTCATCTCCATTAATGATCTTTTCCATCAACTAAATTATTTAACCAAATTCAGCGGATCTTGCCCTCACACTTTCATTGCAACTTATGTTTTTGTCTGTGTGTGTGTGTGTGCTGTTATAGCAGAGTGAACCAGCTAGGTCAATGACAAAAACCCAGAGGATAACGTTGAAAAAGTTTGTCATTTGAAAGAATGTAAAGACATTCAGCAATACATTATTCCTCTGTTGTTATTACTATTGGATAGGTATTTTGTTCCATTATAACACGGGAAAAATTGTTACTACTACTACTAAGTAACAATATTACTCAACCGTTAGTAATTTGACATACTGAAGATCAATTACATTAATTCATTAACAGTTAACAATTCTAGCTTACTTTTTCAGTATCTATTATACTTAGCACAGCTCCTTCAGAGGTGCCTATACCCTAAATCCTTCAAATATACCTCTCTTGACCTCATTTGTTTGATCCAAAGCCAACAGTTAACTGTTTTATGTGCTAAACTATTCTGCTAAGCTAACTAACTGCTCAGAGTGGCACTGAAAACAAATGACTCCTTTAAACTTTGTTGGACGGAAGTGTGTGTGTGTGTGTGTGTGTTCTTGTACTTGTTATACAGTGCCTTGCAAAAGTATTTATACCTCTTGAATTTTTCCACATTTTGTCACATTACAACCACAAAAATAAATGTATTTTATTGGGATTTTGTGTGATAGATCAACACAAAGTATCGCATAATTGTGAAGTGGAAGGAAAATGATATATGGTGAACAGTAAGAGTATTGACTCAGGGGGGATGAATACATATGCACGCCACGCTTTTCAGATTTTTATTTGTAAAAAAATCTTGAACACCACGTATCATTTTCCTTCCACTTCACAATTATGCAATACTTTGTGTTGGTCCATCACATAAAATCCCAATAAAATACATTTAAGTCTGTGGTTGCAATGTGACAAAATGTGAAAAAGTTCAAGGGGTATGAAAACCTTTGCAAGGCACTGTATATAGTGAGAACCAAAAAAATTATTTTTTGCTACAAAGTGAGGACACTTCTGGAAAATGAGGACATTATGGCCGGTTCTCACTTTTTAGGGACTTTTTGAGTGTTAAACTTGGTTTTAGGGTTCAGGTTAGAATTAAGTTAAGTATTATTGTAAGAGTTGGGGTTAGGCATTTAGTTCTAATGATTAAGTGTTAGAGTAAGGGGCTAGGGAATACAGTATGTCCTCACAAAGACAGAAGTACAAGTGTATATGTGTGTGCAAGCATTGTCAGACTGATATGCATGGTGCTGATCAATGTCTTGTCAAAGGGAGCTGAGAATAAGACACATCCTGGGGAGAGATCACTGCAGGAACAGGCAGGGCACAGACAAGTGGGCTGACAGAAAGAGATGGATGGATAGTCACAGAAGAATGGGCAGAAGAGGAGGAGGAGAGGGAAAAGGCAACATATAATGTCCCTTATCCTTATTTAAGGGAGAGGCATGGATAAAGCTAATCAGGTCTATAACAGACAAACTTTATGGATATGAAGCAAATCAGACATCTCAGGCTCTCAGGTTGTCAGCCAATGTCCCATCTGTTAGCTAATGAAACATGCAGCTGATGTGCAAGCTTGCGCCAAGTTTGCAGAATC